GAAAGAAAGAAAGAAAGAAAGAAAGAAAGAAAGAAAGAAAGAAAGAAAGAAAGAAAGAAAGAAAGGAAAGAAAGAAAAGCTTATAGTAAAAAGAGGTCTGCTTTGGACTTTTATCATTTGTTGAATCCTAAGTTTGTGTTTTTAGGAATGATTTCTGTCCAGTTGCTTGACTCCACTATAACTCCAGGCTCTTTATAGGTTTTTTAAAAACATGCATAAAGGAAATAAATAGTATAGCTGACCGGGAGACAGAATTGAAACCAAAAGGTTTAACCCATGATCTGGGAGAACAAGCAGGTATCTGACAGTTGTATTTAACATGAATTTGGGAGAGTAATTTTTAGCAGAAAAAGTGCAGAACGGAATAAGTTTTCTACTACAGCTTTCTGTTAACAAGTTTAGAATGAGATAATTGTTCTTCCTTCTATTACTGGAATATTTTGAAACTTAATTTTCTTATTTATCTATTTTGAGATTTATAAAGCAATATTTCTAAATTATCTATTGTTTGGTGATGCATCCTTTCAAATACTTTAACCTATTTCAATAACATTTATTACGAGCTTTCCATATATTCAGAACAACACAGAGAACTAAAATTAATTTTATTATTAAATGAAAAAGCTGTATCTCTTTCAATTTAATGCAATGCTTTGTGTAATAGTTACATCTTCACACTGTTCAATTAACAAATGTGATTTTTTTTCACCATTTAATAATAAATTCTTTGATAGACTAAAAATCACATCTTTGTTCTATTTTTTGGAGAGAGAACCAGAGTGCATATGATACAATTTCTTCATTTATTTCACAAAGTATGTCAACTCAAAATATTTCTATGGTCTTTTAGAGTTGCCAACAGAGTTGCCATTCAACGGTCTTAAATGTGAAAAATTGTCACTTTTTTCATTGCAGTTGTAACTTTGAAGGGTCACTAAATGAACTGTTGTAAATCAAGGATTGTAGTCTATTTTTATAAGCCTAAATCCCATAGAATAAAACTACAATAACCAGGCTTTTTAAAAAGGATATTTCTGAATTGTAATGTAAAAACTGTATTTTTGCTTCCCTCAAATCTGAGATAGAGCCAATTTGGTGTAGTGGTTAAGGCATCAGACCAGAAACTGGGAAACATGAGCTTTAGTCCTGTCTTACAGACAAAACCAGCTGATACCTTGGGCCAGCCCGTCTCTCAGCCCTAGGAAAAAGGCAATGGCAAAATATTTAGGAAAAATCTTGTGAAGAAAACTGCAAAGACTTGTCCAGTTTACAGAGATCCAAAAAACAAAACCCAATTCAAAGACACAACAAAAAGATATATGGAATAATTTATTACCTTCTCCAAAAACCAGCCTGCATATTTGAGTATTCCTTGAAAAGTATGTTTACCCAAAGACCATTTTTGGATCTTAGATTACAAAAAATCCCCCATCCTTGAGATGAAAATTACTGGAGAAACACATTCATACTTCTCAATCCCCAATTCTGATGAATTTCTATATGCATGAAGTTCTTCCAAGAATGTAGGTATGTAGGTCATACTGTATCAGCATAGTGTCCAAGCAGTGTGGCCTTTTGCAGTTGACAGATGAACATTTCAGATGCAGATTTTCTAGATGTCATCCAAAAAATTTTTGTATGGCATTTATTGTTCTGATAATCACTTGGACCACCATGGCCGGTTTATGCCATAATCTTTCGACTTTGATTTTTTGTGATATTCTCCAATTTTTTGACTTTACTGTCATCTGGTATTACATATCAGTTGCTCACACTGAATAAAGTGTGGGCAATTTAGTGTGTTATGAACTATGACTTTATCAGTCCGATTTGAAAATTCTGAAATATTTTCACTCATTTTTGACTACTTTTTCAACTGTATGTTCCCGCCAATTTTTCATTACTGGTACATGTCTGTAGAGGTTCTCAGTCATCCAGGTCATGGCTGTCCCAAAGGTGCTTTTTCAGGAGGCAACTGGACTTTGTTTTTTCTTTTGAAGACATTTTGCTTCTCAACCAAGAAGCTTCTTCAGCTCTGGCAGGATAATGAGGAATGGAATTCCATTTAGTCTCCTGAAAAAGCACCTTTTCGGACATTACTGGTACATGTTCCAGTAATACAGCTCCAGTGAATCATTTTGGCCACTATGTTATGTCATTAAAAGTCAGTTTGTGTGATCTTGCATGAGCTGAGTGTATTATCGTTTCTTCTGCTTCTTCACACACACACTGCACTTCGAATCTTTTTCAATTCTATTCATTAGTTCAACTAGCTGGCTCTTGAGCAGCCAAAATCAAACCTACAGTTTCTTTTTTTTTAAAATGTTCCTTGTGTCATTAACATCAACATTAATATTCCTTTTATGATAATAATGGAACAATAATTGATGTGAAGCAGAGGATCTATGGTGAAATTGCAGGATAAACAATAATACTATGTACATTACTCAATCCATTATCTGGAATGAATGCAAGTAATCCTTTCCTTATTTTGAATGTAATTCTTAAAACAATGCAAAATGAGATTTCCAAGAATTAAAGTGGCATAAATAATTTTATTCAATTAATATGAAAAAATATATGTTCTACAAAGAATGAGAAACTGGGTGAGTTCAAAGTGATTTATTTGATTTCCCACATAATCACAGTTATAGTTTAACAACAATAAAGTCTGATACTACTTACAAACAAATGCATATTAAAATGAAAGCACTCTTTCTTTTCCAACAGTTACAAAATCTCTTGAATCTCCCTTTACAGAAGCTTCTCATGAGCATGATGTTTCTTGAAGTCTTTTAACAGTCTGCATTCAATCTAATTCTAACAGTTTAATACTATTCAAAGCTG